CTCGTGGAGAAGTGGGCCGACTTCGCCAGGTGGGCGCCCAAAATTCACCAAAACCACCCAAAATCCACCCAAAACAATTCACCAAAATCATTCACCAAAATCATTCACACAAAATTCACCGAAATTCACCAAAAATTCAGCCAAAATTCAGCCAAAATTCACCCAAAATTCACCCAAAATTCAGCCAAAATTCAGCCAAAACCCACCCAAAATAATTAACCAAAATAATTCACACAAAATTGACTCAAATTCACCCAAAATTCACCCGAAATTCACCCAAAATTCACACAAAATACACACAAAATACACCCAAAATTCACACAAAATACACACAAAATAATTCACCAAAATAATTCACCCAAAATTCACCGAAATTCACCCAAAATTCACCCAAAATTGACCGAAATTCACCCAAAATTCACCCAAAATTCACCCAAAATTCACCCAAAATACACACAAAATTCACCCAAAATCCACCCAAAACAATTCACAAAAATCATTCACCCAAAATTCACCGAAATTCAGCCAAAAATCACCCAAAAATCACACAAAATTCACACAAAATTCACCAAAATAATTCACCCGAAATTCACCGAAATTCACCCAAAATCCACCCAAAACAATTCACCAAAATCATTCACCCAAAATTCACCGAAATTCACCAAAATTCACCCAAAATTCACCGAAATTCACCAAAATTCACCCAAAATTCAGCCAAAATTCACCCAAAATCCACCCAAAACAATTCACCAAAATCATTCACCCAAAATTGACCGAAATTCACCCGAAATTCAGCCAAAATTCACCCAAAATTCAGCCAAAATTCACCCAAATTCACCCAAAACAATTCACCAAAATCATTCACCCAAAATTCACCGAAATTCACCAAAAATCACCCAAAATTCACCCAAAATACACACAAAATTCACCCAAAATTCACCCAAAATACACACAAAATTCACCCAAAATTCACCAAAACCACCCAAAATCCACCCAAAACAATTCACCAAAATCATTCACACAAAATTGACCGAAATTCACCAAAAATTCAGCCAAAATTCAGCCAAAATTCACACAAAATTCACCCAAAATACACCCAAAATACACCCAAAACAATTCACCAAAATAATTCACACAAAATTGACCGAAATTCACCAAAAATTCAGCCAAAATTCACCCAAAATTCACCCAAAATAATTCACCAAAATAATTCACCAAAATTCACCAAAATTCACCCAAAATTCACCCAAAATACACACAAAATACACCCAAAACAATTCACCAAAATAATTCACCCAAAATTGACCGAAATTCACCAAAAATTCACCCAAAATTCACCAAAACCACCCAAAAATCACCCAAAACAATTCACCAAAATAATTCACCAAAATAATTCACCCAAAATTCACCAAAATTCACCAAAAATACACCCAAAATTCAGCCAAAATTCACACAAAATTCGCCCGAAACAATTCACCAAAATAATTCACCCAAAATTCACCGAAATTCACCCAAAATACACCCAAAATTCAGCCAAAATTCACCAAAAATTCACCCAAAATAATTCATCCAAAATTCACCGAAATTCAGCCAAAAATTCACCCAAAATGTACGAAAAATTCACCCCAAATTCACCAAAACTCACCCAAATTTCACCCAAAATCCACCCAAAATTCACCCAAAATAATTCATCCAAAATTCAGCCAAAATTCACCCAAAATAATTCACCAAAAACTCACCCAAAATTCACCAAAATTCACCAAAAGTCACCCAAAACTCACCTGAGCACAGCTGGGCACAGCCGCTGGAATTTGGGGTGAAAAACGGGGATTTTGGGGCACCTGGGGGCACCCAAAGTACACGCGTGACACGTGACGCAGGTGAAGTCACACGTGTCACACGCGTGTCACATGCGTGTTGCAGGCGCCTGTGCGAGCCCGGGGCCAATGGGGGACAGGGGTGACAATGACATGGGACATGTGTCACACACATGTCACACACGTGTCACACACATGTCACATGTGTCATACATGTCACACACGTGTTGCAGGCGCCTCTGCAAGCCCGGGGGCCAATGAGGGATGGGGGTGACAATGACA